CAGCTCTCAGGTCATGATAACAGGGTCCTGGGATCGAGCCCCATTTCGGGCTCCACGCTCAGCACAGAGTCTGCTTAGGATTCTCTCTCCCTCTTCCTCTGCCCCTCCCCCACTCGTGCTCTCTCTATCTCTAAAATAAATAAAACCTTTTAAAAAACTAATAATAATTTAGTCTCATTGGTAGTGCTGATATAGGTCTTGGGGCTTAGGACAACCATGCCTTATAGTTATTATCCAATTTGCTTGCTTACTGTTTACCATTTCTTGCTTTGGCTCCATTTATTTACTTAGTTGCTTGCTTACATATTTATCATGGCCCTTGAAAGTGCCCTTATTTCCAATGAGCTGATCAATACATTAAGATGTATGTTTGCTGTAATTTTGCCAGGCTCTAATTGAGACTAGAGAGTCCTGCAGACAGAGTGCCATACTGCCAAAGTGGTACACTCTGCAGTCCTCACTATATTTTCCGAAAGTAGAAGTTATTGGCCCTAAAAGATAAGTCAAAATACATGGGCATCAGGGAGTACTGACCGGGCAAGCCCATCATACGTGCCCATGTACACATGAGTATTTTCCAAACAGCTGTGGGTAAACTATGTGTTGAAGGAAGTATATACGCTCTTTCCTTCATCTGTTTCTGAAATCATATTTTTTAAAATTATTATCTTACTTGGGTCAATGAATATTCACTATGTATAAAATGGCAAGGGTGTGAGAACCATAAAGATTTTAGAGATAGTCACATCCCTTCAATGTAAATAGTGCTTATCTCTACACATTGGGCGTGGGGGTGATATGTATTGGCTTCTATCAGTTTTTGCTATCTCTTGAGCTTCTACTGTGGGTCTGCACAAGTTTCACAATTATAGGAAAACAGTTATTTTACAAAGGGGTTTTCATACTTCAAATAGTTGGAAACCTCTATTTTGAATGGCGATCGAGAGCACTAGAGCAAGAAAAACAAATTCGAAGGTGGGTAGATGGGGCCAGGCCTGTGATGGGAATGAGAAAGTGGGCCAGGTGGGTTTCGAGTGACGGGACAGTGGAGGCCAGAAGAAATGGAAGTGGATGCTAGTCAGCTCCAGCCCGATTTTGCCCTGTAAAAATGTAGGCCTCATGTTGCCAGATCTTTTGGTTAAGTGAAAATAGATATCTATATTTGTTATTTGAAATCTTTACAGAGTTTTGAATGCTGGCAACTAATTTTTTAAAAAAATATTTAAACATGGTGCAGTTCAAATCAACCATCTGTGTAGATTAGATATGGCTCCTGGGTGGCCCCCCTATATCCTGTTTTAAGACCTGGGCTCCTTATCGCTTTCACCTCTACTTGCAAACTCTACAGTCACTAAGTAAGATCAAGTCCAGCCCTGAAATATTTCTGAAATAGGAGGACCGTACCAAACAATTTCCTCCTTTAGTTCAGATTATTGGCAGCCTCTCCATCCACCCTAGTTTCAATCACACCGAAAGAGTCACCAAGTTTGTGTATCCATCCATCCATCCATCCATCCATCCATCCATCCATGTATTCATTCAGACAACAGCAGTGTTGTGGGCATCTCCTAGACATCACGTGCTATCCCAATAGTGGAGACAATAGGGAGCAAGACTAAGGCATACCCTTAAGGAACATATTACATTCTAGGGGAGGAAATAGGCAATTACAAGCAAATGATCTGATTTCAGGCAGGGCCGGGGGTGCTATCCCAAACCAGGATAACGAGTAGGGTTGTGTGGAGAGAAGGTGAGGGGACAGCAGTGCTAGAAAGGCCTTCACAGGTGGTGTCTGAATAAGGACCTGCTTGCTGAGAAAGGGCAGCTGTGCAAACGCGGAGGATGAACTTAGCTTCTAGGTAACAGACGGATAACAGGAAGTGCAAAGGCCCAGAGACAAGAATGGGATGATCTAGATTTGTTATGGGAAAACTGCTAATCCTCTTCCTGAGTACCCACACAATGCAGCCCTCCTCCCTGACTCCACTATCAGGTACTTTGTCCCGTGTTATCTCCTGAGGCTGTGGGCCGAGGCCAATCTCCGCTGGTCCATCCTCAGGTCTGGTTTCCAGGGAGAAGACAGACCTGCAGTTCTGGGTCTTCCACCCCCAGCTGAGACCAAGGGCAAGTTCTGGTCTTGACCCTCCTCTCTGATCTGCAGTGGCTATCTTCCTCTGAGAGGGGCCCACCTCCGCCAAGGGGCCTCCTTCCCACTCCTCCAGAGCAGAACCATTAAGCTCCTTTCTAATGTCATTTGATAAAAGTCCAAACTCTATTACCACCTTTGCCCAACCCTTCACCATGCACCTACCCTCCAGCGACAACCACTCCCCACCTTCCCAACCCCGCCCTTTCAGCCCACTCCCCAAACTCCCCAGGCCCTGCCCTGATATTTGACCTTTGTACACGTGCTGTGTTCTCTTAGAACAAACACCATCCCCCCTTTACTTCTAGCACCATCTCCGGTCACCTGGTCCATAGGATGGCCCCGATGCAGTGCATTTCCCATCTGCCTCACTGTGAGCCTCATTCCATTACCTGCCTCATGTCTCATCTGTCTCCCGTGGGCTTTTTTCTGTTCCCCTACAACAGCAAGCTCCTTGCCTGGCTCACCTTCAAGCTCCTCTGTCCACATCCTGCCACCTTTTCTAACTGCTAATGCCACCTACAATTCTAGACCATTCAGTGCAGCTAATGCTTGTAGGGTGAACAGTTGTTGAATAAAGTCCCTGGGCTGATCAGGGCACTCCAAATGGTCTGCCTCTGAGCTAGGAGTCATCACAATTGACAGGAGATTTCTTCTTTCCAGCATCTTCTATATGCGTTTATCATGAGCATGGCATTGCGGCATTGGTCCTAATCTATGCTCACTCCGTGGTTGTTCGGTGTAAACAGAACGCATGCATAGAGTGCTCACTACCTGTCAAGTGCCCCACCTGGAACGCAGCTACCCCTCGTTGTGCAGGTAGAATGAATGAATGCATGATATGAATGAATGAATGAACACTCCATAAAGCACTTTTTACAGGGCATTAACTTTAATATTTTTTTAAAAAAGATTTTATTTATTTATTTATTTATTTATTTATTTATTTATTTGACAGGTGGGGAAGAGAGAGAGAGAGAGAAAGAGAGCTAGGGAAGTAGAAGAGAGAGAGGGAGAAGCAGACTCCCCGCTGAGCAGGGAGCCTGACATGGGACTCGATCCCAGCACCGTGGGATCACGACCTGGGCCAAAGGCAGACACTTAACTGACTGAGCCACCCAGGTGCCCCCATTAATGATAATCTTTAAAAAAAGACCTAAGAGATAGGTTCCCTGGTCAATTCCCATCTTGCTGTCTTGGAAACATTAAGGCTGAAGGTGATTACATGCTTTGCCTGAAGTTCACAAAGCTAGTAAGCGGCAGGGCTGGGATTTGAACCCACCACCATCTCATTTCATGGTCTAATCCATGTGCTGTTTCGTGTGGTGGCCGTGAGCCACAGGTGGCTACTGAGGACTTGTCCAACTGTGGCTGGGCCAACTCTAGAGGTGCTATGAAGATAAAATACATTCCAGATCTCTGAGATGTAGTGTAAGAAAAAGAATGAAAACTATCTCATTAATGCTTTTTACATTAAATATATGCTGACATGAAGGTATTTAAGATATATTGGGTTAAATAAGATATATTATCAAAATTAATCTCACCTGTTTCTTTTTACTTTTTCAACGCAGCTACTAGACAAATGGAAATTGCACTGTGGCTCACGTTATGTTTTTATTGGACGGCACCAGTCTCAGCTCTCAGATGCTGCATTCTGGGGATTCAAATGCAAAAGCCTTCATCTTTAACATCGCCAATAAAAGGGGCGCCTGGGTGGCTCAGTGGTTGAGCATCTGGTCATGATCCCAGGGTCCTGGGACTGAGTCCTGCATCAGGCTCGCCACAGGGAGCCTGCTTCCCCCTCTGCCTGTGTCCCTGCCTCTCTCTGTGTGTCTGTCATGAATAAATAATTTTTAAAAAATAACATTGCCAATAATATACACAGGAGACTATCGGCCTACAACTCCGCTTTGGCCCACCCCTTGCCCCCCTGGGGTTCTTCTTTCTTCCACCCACTGGGATGATTCAGTCAACCTCAGGGCCATTGCCTTGCTTTTTAGCTGACTGCTGTGGACAATTTTTTCCCTGGAGATGCCTCCTCCACGGTGAATGGGTTCTAAAGTCACAACACGGGGCAAAAATTGTTCTAGGCAAAATTATCCATAGAAAGCCTTCAAAGCGGGCATGCCGTAGCGTGTCCCTGGTTTTGTCCACAGGGATATGTACCCACATGTGGATGACAGACTCAGTAATACACGGTGGAGAACAGTAGATAGCAAAACCTGAGTTTATAGCATTTTCCCACCTACTGTCATTATTTTGATGAAGCATTTGTAAGTTGCAGATATTGTGACCTTTTACTTTTGACTCTTTCAGGATATAGTTCTCTCTCTCTCTCTCTTTTTTAAAAGACTTATTATATTTATTTAGTTAGTTATTTTTGAGAGAGGGAGAGAGACAAAGAGTGGACAGGGCAGAGGGGCAGAGGGAGAGAGCAAATTTTTTTTTTTTTTAGATTTTATTTATTTACTCATGAAAGAGAGAGAGAAGCAGAGACAGGCAGAGGGAGAAGCAGGCTCCATGCAGGGACCCCAATGTGGGATTCGATCTCAGGACCCTGGAATCATTCCCTGAGCCGAAGGCAGATACTCAACCACTGAGCCACTCAGGTGTCCCAAGAGAGAAAATCTTAAATAGGCTCCATGCCCAGCACTGAGCCCAACAAGGGACTTGATCCCATGACCCTGAGCTGAAATCAAGAGTTGGATACTTAGCTGACTGAGCCACCCAGGCACCCCTCGGTATATATATATTTCTTTCATTTGATTCATTTTATTGCAATATTCACTTTATTGTGATAGTCTGGAACCAAACCTCCAATATCTCTGAGGCATGGTTGTAAAGAAATTCTAAAAATATGGAAAGCTTCATGAATCTGCGTATCATCCTCATGCAGGGCCCATGCTCATCTTCTCTACATCGTTCTAATTTTGGTATATATGATGCCGAAGCAAGCACTCTGTATACATTTCTTAAGAACAAGTCCATTCTCTTATGTAATAGTTCATGAAATTCAGGAAAGTTAACATTTTGACAATACAAATATCTAATATGTATTCCATATTCAAATTTCCCCAATAATGTCCTTCAGAGCAACTTTCCCCTGATCCAGGATGCAAAATGGCATTTCACACTGCATTTACTTGTCATGTGTCCCAGGTTTCCTCAGTCTGGAACAAATCCTCAGCCTTCCTTCATCTCTCATGATATTGGCATTTTTGAAGATTATGGGATAGCTGTTTTCTAGAGTCCTCCCCTATCTGGGTATGCCTGACTGATTTCTCATATTATATCTAAGTTTTAAAATGTTTTACAAACATGCAGCATAAGTGATACTGTGTCCTGCCCACTGCATCCCATCCCACCATTGTTCCCATCCTGCTGAGGGTATAACTGTGATCGCGATTGAAGTGGGATCTCCTATGTCTTCTCCCTTTTAATTATTAAGAAATCTCTGGTCTCCTTTTGTAATCGATAAGTAATCTGTAGCACGAGGCTCTGAGTGTGTGTAAGTATCCCGTTTCCGAATAATTTCGGAAACCCAGAGTTGTTTAGTATCTGTCACTGATTTTTGCCCTGAACCAATTTTTATTAGGATATCTGCAAATTATCTTTGAAGTTGTAAAAAAAAAAAGAGGGAGTGGGGTGTGTGTGGCAGGAATACTGCAGAAGGGTTGAACTTGTTTAAGATAAAGGCCTGGAAGATCTGGAAGATGTTGCTCCATTGTATGCAAAATTTTTAATCTGCAAATTTGGTTTGGGAGGAAGGGACAAGTGGTCCCTGCCACTAGAGCAGCGTGTGATCACATTGGGGAGACAGTGCAGACAAAGCAGAGAGGACACACACACACACACACACACACACACACACACTAAAGGAGAGGCAGGAAAATGCCAAGTGAGAGGTTCAGAGGGAAGCCAGCAGCCTGGAGGGCCTGCAGCCCACTGCAGTCTGAGGTTGCCCAGCCCACAGGCTCCATGTAGGGGAAGAGTCCCCCATCTCCAGTGTCACGGGTTGATGGGTCCCACCCAAATTCACGTGGTGAGATCCTAACCTTCAGTAGCTCAGAATGTGACCTATTTTGAGATAAGGTCTTGAAAGAAAAAAAAAAATCAAGTTAAAATGAGGTCATTAGGATGAGCCTTAATCCAATATGAATTTTGACCTTATAAAAGGAAGAAATTTGGACCTAGACTGCACACACAGAAGGAAGAAGATGTGAAGACGTAGGGAGAACATCATCAATAATCCAAGGAACACCGAGGCTTCCAGAAGCCTGGAACAGGTTCTCCCCCACATCCCTCAGAAGGTGCCAACCCTGCCAACACCTTGACCTTGGATTTCCAGTCTCCAGACTCTGTGACAACACATTTCTGCTGGTTAAGTCAACCAGGGTGTGGAGTTGTCACAGCAGCACTAGGAAGCTAATACACCCACCACTGGTGTCATGACCCCCTGTTCAGGGGCTGCAAAATGTACAGGAAAAGAGCCCAGGCTGGGAGGCAAAGCCTTGGGGTCATGGCCAGGTTCTACTACTTCACAGCTACCTAAGCTCAGGATGATTTGTTCCTCTCCAGTCTTACTTCTTCATTTTTCCATAGAGGGGAGTGACATTGGAACAATACAAATCACCTACGGGGGGGACCTTGCATTCTGCTGTGGGCATCGTGGCTGGCTGATGACCAATCCAGCCATTGCTGGCTGCAGGGCTCCTTCACGGGAATCCCCTCACCCGAGTTCTGCTCTGCAGATGTGGCCACATCTGGACTCCCTTTCACACTCAAGGTCAGCTCATATGGGGCAGAACTAGACAACACAAACCAGTTGCCCAGAGTGTCCCCATGCTGCCTCAGTGAAAGGATGGAGTTTGTTTCTCCATCTGCTATTTAACATAATCCACTGTGTACAAGGCCTGACAGGCCCATGAGAGACACAGAGAGGCTGGTTGTGAGGACTGGCTAGGGCCTGGCATATAAGAATCATTCAATAAATGTCAGCTGTTTTTGTTAGCACTTCATTTCTCAGCTGGTTTTCTCTCTTTCACTTGTCAATGGGAGCCAAGATTGGGGCATAAGAAAAAAAAAAGATAGAGATCTGACTTTAAAGAGGTTGAAATATAGCCCGAGTTAGGATCAGAAGCATCAGTACAAACTCATGATATATTTTACCCTTTAAAACATTATCTGTATTTTTTTAAAGACTTTACTTACTTATTCATGAGAGACACAGAGAGAGAGGAAGAGATATAGGCAGAGAGAGAAGCAGGCTCCCCACAGGGAGCCCAATGCAGACTCCACCCCAGGACTCCGGAATCACGACCTGAGCCGAAGGCAGATGCTCAACCACAGAGCCACCCAGGCATCCGCAATTATTTGTTTTTGTTTTTTTATTTTTGTTTTTTTTTTAATTCTGTTAACTCTAGACCCATTCTGTCAAACTGTAACATCAGATGTGTCAAAGTGTGGATAACAAAACAAGTATATCTCAGAATTGGAAAGGGCCCAGAAACAATGCTGAAACAGTGTCAATGAGCATTCCCGGTATCCAGATTATGGTCTCTCAATACTATTTCTCAGGTAAAGAAACCAGGCATGGTTGACTCCAGGTCTTGGGCAGGAAATGAATGAGATAATTCTGGGACATCCCATCATACAGGAAAGCTTGGCAACCATGAAGACTACTGAGGCATGTCAGCTTAGAACTCGGAAGCAAATTTGGAAAGGTGGGAAACTGTGAGCATCAATAGGAAAATTAATTTCATTATACCGAAACCCATCAAATAAAATTAAATTCATGAATTTGCGACATGCAAAGGAAGGGGGGAAAACTCACTGGGTCACTCTGGGAGTATACAAGGGAATCACCTTATTAGTTTGAAAGTGACAAATAAAGGTAAAGAAAAAATACATACATATACATTGCTGAGGGGAATGAGAAATGGTACAGCCACTTTGGAAAAGAACCCACAGAATGAGAAAGAATGTCTGCAAATCATATAAAGGACCTGTATCCAGAATAAATATAGAATTCTTACAACTCGAGATGCCTGGGTGGCACAGTGATTGAGCATCTGCCTTTGGCTCAGGTCGTGATCCCGGGGTCCTGAGATCAAGTCCCACATTGGGTTCCCTGCAGGGAGCCTGCTTCTCCCTCTGCCAGTGTCTCTGCCTCTCTCTGTGTGTCTCTCATGAATAATAATAATAATAATAATAATAATAATTCTTACAACTTGATGATAAAAAATACAAACACTCCAATGAAAACTGGGCGAAAGATTTGAATAGATGTCTCTCCATAGAAGATAGACAAATGGTCCATAAGCACATAAAGAGATGCTTATTTGGTCATGAGGAATATACAAATCAAAACTACAGTAGGATAGCACTTCACACTACTAGGACAGCTATAAATGAAAAAGACAGTAACAAGTGCTGACAAGGATGTGGAGAGATTGGAACCCTCCATGCATTGTGGTGAGAATGTAAAAATGGTGCAGTCACATTGGAAACGGTCTGGCACTTCCATAAACAGCGAACTGTAGACCCAGCAAGCCTACTCCTTATATACACACCCAAGAGAAGTGAAAACATACGTCCGCACTAAACTTTATGGGATGTGAATTATATCTTAATAAGGCTATTTTTAAAAGTTGTTGTTATGAAAGACTCCTAACTCTGGGAAACAAACTAGGGGTGGTGGAAGGGGAGGTGGGCGGGAGTTGGGGGTGCCTGGGTGGCGGGCACTGAGGTGGGCACTTGACGGGATGAGCACTGGGTGTTATTCTGTATGTTGACAAATTGAACACCAATAAAAAATAAATTTATTAAAAATAATAAAAAAATAAAAGTTGTTGTTAAAGAGGGGTGTCTGGGTGGCTCAGTCGGTAAAGCACCCAACTCTTAATTTTAGCTCAGGTCATGATCTCAGGGTCGTGAGTTGGAGCCCCACGTCAGGCTCTGAACTCAGTGCAGAGCCTGCTTGAGATTTTCTCTCCCTCTCCCTGCTCATGTGCTCTCTCTCTCTCTCTCTCAAGTAAATAAATAAATCTGTCCAGAAAATTGTCTTTAGAGATGCCCCATGGGTATTATTAAAAATTGACCTTGAATAAACTCCTTAAACTCGGGGTGCCTCAGTTTGGCCTATACATCAGGGTAATACTATCACCCACCTCCAAGGACTATTATGAGGATAAACGAGAATATAAGTGCACAGCCTCTGGCCACTGCCTCACTCGTTGTAAGTGCTCAACAAATGGCAGCTTTTACTGACCTCATGGTTCCTATCAGATCCCCAGGCACTGTGCTGGGGAACAGGGTCGCTTAGGGATGGGGGTGTGGGGAAAACCAGTTCCTCCCCTGGAGGATCTCACAGGAGCAGGATAGAAGAAAACCAAGTTAGTGAGCAGCAGGTACCATGCGACACATGCTATTGTCACGATGGGAGCCCAGGGCCCAGGGGAAGCAGACACGGCAACTCCTCCAAGCCAAGGGGTGCAAGCCAAGCACAGCAGCCCAAGAATAGCAATTGCACGGGGTACTGCTTCTAACCCAAAGGTGCCATCCAACGTAAGATGTGTCACTATTTTATGTATACACAAAAAGACATCAGGCGTAAACCGTAACATCAGATGCGTCTAAGTGTGGATAACAAAACACGTGTATCTCAGAATTGGCAAAATACGGTAAGGGCCAAGCACCGTATCTGAGTTATCTCTGCAGCAGTCCTGGGAGAGGCACAGTCTAGAAGGTCCATTCAAACTAATCTTATCTTAAGGTTCATACAGCTCCTGGTGGCAGCCCCTAACTCCAATTTCATTCTAGACCCACACCAGATCCCGGAGTCGAACCTGTAACCCTAACCCTAAATGTGGCCCTGGCCTTAACTCTAATGCCAGCACCATTACCAGTCGTAACTCTGGGTCAGCTCTAGCAGGTATGATTTTCTTCCCATTTTAAAG